TCTTCCGAATTGCTTTTAATGAAGCTATGGCAGCAAAATATACAACGTGACGCAGATACACAGTGGAGCAAAGGCCTAGATAATGAGATGGTTTTGTCTACATCTTGGGGAAAAAGGTGATATGTATGTCTTTATGAATAAAATATCTAGGAATAAACTTGCCTCACATTCTTGCCAGTCTTTTCTCATGCTGAAACTCACTGCTCTCTGATAACTAAATCACAATATAATATTCCTTAAAACATCAGGGTTTTTTTTTTTCTTTTTGTTTCCTTAAAACCAAGTAATATTGATTGCTTTGGTATTTTTTTCCTCCCTTGTTAATGCTAGAGCAAATAAATTTGATCGATTAAGTTTCATTTATGAGTTTTCTTGAAATAAATTAGAGAGTTATACTCATAACCTTAGTGTAATGGAAAAGATATCTATACTAGTCACAGCTCCATCAGTAAATAACTATATAAGCTTAAATCTTCTGGTCTCCCAGGGCCTCAGTTTTATCACCTATAAAATAGAACACTTGCACTAGGTGGTCTAGCTTTACATTTAAGGCATTCTGTTGTACACACTTGTTACCTTTCAGTTTCATGGGCACTGATGCATAAGTCTTTTACTCTTTCTAGTGGAGGGCAGGCTATGATAAGGAGCTTGTAGCAAAGCAGAAGGAGCATAGTATAGACTTTTCCTCTGGAAACTAAGAGATGTGGCGTATAACAACCCAACTCTACTCTAAACTTGGATAAGCCATCTGACCTCTCTGTGTTATTGTTTCCCCCAATGAAGAAAAGATAATCTTTATCATGCTTACTTCAGAGGTGAAAATTACATTAGATGATAAACATAAAAAGCTTTTTGAAAAACACTATTTAAATATAAGCTGTTACTGTCATCACGGTCTTCATCATCATGGAGTCTCATGTCTGCATTCTCTTTCTGTTCATTTTAGCCTCTCATCGGGCTTTATTCTTCCTGACTCTCTTGCTAAGCCTTTCCTTAGGGTGGCCCCTTCTTGCATTTGTTTAGGCAGACTCTGAACGCTTCACTCTTCTAAGGTCCATTGGCCAAGTGGATGCTGGCTGTTATAGATTATAAAATCTCTCCTGTTGCCAATTGTGACTCATCTGCCGTGTGGTACCAAGTATTCCTATTTAGGCAAGTAGACATGCTACCTGATAAGGAATTTTATGTATGATATATAAAGGTGAATTAACTTCTGTTAGTTAGCAGCTACCATGTTTAGAGGTATCCTATGTGGCAAGCATGATGTCAGGCATGTTACCTCTAATCTTCATTACACCCCTGGGAGCAGACATCATCACCCCTGCTTTACAAATGAGGAGACTGAGGAAAGTAACTTTCAGACTGTCATGCTAATAAATAGTATCTGGGAGCTGAGATATGAATCAAGCTCTGAGGCTACAGAGCCTTTCTTCTTTGTTGTTTAATTTTCTTACTTCCAACTATATGACCCTATTCTAACACAGTATTATCACAATATTAATCTATTCCCTCAGATTAACTAACATTGCATACTTTTTTTGCGTGTGTGGTACGTGGGCCTCTCACTGTTGTGGCCTCTCCCGCTGCGGAGCAGAGGCTCCGGATGCACAGGCCCAGCGGCCACGGCTCACAGGCCCAGCCGCTCCACGGCACGTGGGATCCTCCCGGACCGGGACTCGAACCCGCGTCCCCTGCATCAGCAGGCGTACTCTCAACCACTGCGCCACCAGGGAAGCCCTAACATTGCATACTTTTACTTCTGTACCTTTTATTCAGCCTAGAATATCCTTCTCCATGCTCCGTTATCTGCCTGGTTTCTATTTATTCTTCATGATCCCACTCAATTTTTACTTTGAGACCACCTCAGTTCCTGATAAATGATTCCTCTTCAGAATTCTTTACTATATGAATTTGGGACTTACTGAGAACTATCTATCCAGTAAGTTTGTAGTAGGAATAAAGTACAGTAAGTATATGAGTCTATAAAAGTTACAAACAAATAAAATTGGCTATTTCTGAGAGAAAGACAAATACCATATTATATCACTTATATGTGGAATCTAAAATATGACACAAATGAACTTATCTATGAAACAGAAACAGAATCATAGACATAGAGGACAGACTGGTGGTTGCCAAGGGGGAGGGGGTTGGGGGAGGGAGTGAGTGGGAGGTTGAGGTTAGCAGCTGTAAGCTTTTACGTATAGGATAGATAAACAACAGGGTCCTACTGTATAGCACAGGGCACTATATTCAATACCCTATGATAAACCATAATGGAAAAGAATATTAAGAAAAGAATATGTATAACTGGAAAAAATTGGCCATTTTTGTTATGGAATCTTTATATTAATTTCATAGGCTCTATACTGATGGAACAGAAAAGTCAGATTGACATGAGAAGATCTGATAGTCATGTG